GTCCGTAAAGTAATAATTCATTCATCAATCAGTCCGTAAAGTAATAAATTATTGATCAATCAGTCCGTAAAGTAAAAATTAATTCATCAATCTGTCCATAAAGTTATAAATCATTGATCAATAAGTCCGTAAAGTAATAAATCATTCATCAGTCAGTCCGTAAAGTAATAAATCATTGATCAATCAGTCCATAAAGTAATAAATATTTCATCAATCAGTACAATAATGAATAAGGTTTTCTTTTATTACCATTAAAATGGTGTTAATGTGTTAAACACTGCATGGGAACATACAATGAAGACAACACGAAGCACTTACTAATTATATTATTATCTGATGTGAATAAAATAAGTTAAATTTTGATGTAGAAAATATGTCTATATTGACCGTCCAGTGGACGTCGGAAAAAGACGTCGTCTGTCGTAACAGTCTGCACCTGGGAGGGACCCAAATTAGACGTGCAAAAACGACTTCAAAAAGACGTCATTTAGACGTCTCCTTGCTCAGTGGGTAGAGACTCGATGTCCTTTACTGCGTGTAGTTTAGTAAGTTTTGAAGGATTCTTTTTATTCTTTTTATATAAAAGGTGCAACTTTCAAGTTTTCATGGCTGTGCATCACAAATAGTGATTTAAACAAGAAAACAAAAAATATCACCTTGAACTGAAACTTTTGAAGGTCAGAGAGGTGACATGTCATCAAGTTATTTTTAATGGTTCGTGTTTCAGTAACTGCTCATCAAGAGTTGCTTTATGATTCAGACTTTGACTTCGTGCTTGTGAGAAGATTCTTGTAAACGGTGTTTACTTCACCTGCTGATATGAACGTAAAGCAGTCTGTCTTTAACAACACACTCGCTCTCTGTCGATAAACTAACTCAAAACTCTTCAGTTATTTTTTAGATGTTTAAATAAATGTAGATATTAAATAAAAAAATTAAATGATTGTTATAATTTGAGGTTGGTGGCCTCCGTTGGACTGAGCTTATAAAAACTTGTTGAGCTGATGATCCACTTCCTGTTTTCCAGGAGCGCTCTCCCAGCGGCACTGATGAAGACTCCTAAACTGTGATGAAGAGCAGCTCATCCACCAAACATCACGTGATCGCCGCAGCTAGCCTCCGTCAGCTCCATTCAGCCTCAGTGAAACGATGCAGAGCAGACCGGCACAACGAGACCGGTCCCAACCGGACAGCTTTAATAAAGAAACGCAGCTTACAACCGCTGACTATCAATTTGAACCAGATGCTCCAGTGAAGTTAAACCCAGTCTGCTGACTGTCAATTTGAACCAGATGCTACAGTGAAGTTAAACCCATGCGGCTGACTGTCGATTTGAACCAGATGCTACAGTGAAGTCAAACCAAACCTGCTGAATGTCTATTTGAACAGATGCTCCAGTGAAGTTAAACCCATGCTGCTGACAGTCAATTTGA